GTCTGATTGAGAAGAAAAGCAAAAACAAAATGATTAAGGAAGAGCTAAGTTCGGGTATAACCAAACATTTCATACTCTTGCAACTTGCACGGACTAAAGCCGGAGTGATACTTTCAGGTACATAAAGCTTGTTAGTTAGTAGGGCCTATGCCGACTTCTCACCCGGTTTTATGTATTTTAGGCACAAATATACAACCTTATAAGGCAAACACGCTCTCCCAATTTTATTAAGACAACTCACATATTGGCGTCATATGAGATCGAGGGTAGAATTAAATGTCACTGGCATATTTAATTATTGATTTATCGTGCTTTTAGTAGATTTTAACTGTACCGTTATATGGGGAGTGAGCGAAGTTATCATCCGATCATTATCACACAATCGGTATGAGCTCATATAATATTTGCCTCAGGCGAATTTGGATGTGGTAGTTTTAGTGGCTTACATTGAACTTATTACAGGACGGGGCCACGCCAACAGCGCCTAGCTACTTCGAACCCCCGTGCTAAATTAGTGTTTTATATCTTAATTTAGTGCTTATTTATAGTATTTTATAGCTTTTCGGCTAATAGCGTTTATGGACGTGGCGATTACGCTCATCTACGAACTTATCTTTAGAATATGATGAAAAATAAATATTTGCAATTACCTAATCTAACATCCGGATCAAATTATGTTACGATTCCGGTTTACCATTTTGCCCCTTTGTTTATGCTAAAAATGCAGAAGCAGTCAAACGCAATCAATTGCTCCAAGGACCGGAGGCAAGTCTTCTCTACAAATTTTCGATGATTGACTGGATGGATTTCCCGTTTCAACTTTAAAACCCGGTTTTGAACGTAAAACCGTTATTTCCGGTCTCAACCAATGTTAATATCTGGCTCTAATTATGTTCCGTTGTATTCTACCCCTTTGTATATGCAACACTTTTTGTAAACTAGAAAACAAAAAATATCAAAGGTCAAGGTTAGATTACTTCCAATTTATGTTGCTGTCTTTCAAACCATTAATATGGCAAATAAAGAAAATTAAATTTGGAATTACACCGAGATCTAGAAATTAAAAATGTGTAATGTTTCTACATTATGAGATCTTCTGTATGAGCAAGTTGCTTGCTAAATGCTTCTAACTACCGTTATATGGTCGGAAAATGACTCAGCACATAAGGCCTTGCTTTTGATCGATCAATTCTGCGGTTCCGACAAAAAGTTGCTTTCTCCATTGAAAAAATGTTTGCAAAGTTTCAAGTCGATATCTCAAAAAAGCTTATAAGCAGACAAACGGACACGGCTAAATATATAATGGCTTGTTATGGACATTAATTCACAATTACTCTGTATTATTTATCATTCCATATCAGGAAGTAGCGTAAAATTTGTATATGAGAAATAATTACGCAGCTCTGCAAAAACATTTTTTTCCTTGCCTGGATATATAAATGAACTCATCATGATTTAATACGTTATCAAGTTAGCGTTGAACGTGGAAGAATCTTGTTTTAGTGACATTGGTAAAAAATTTCGGTTTTAGTTTGGAAAGTTAAAGAGTGGAATATTCGATAGTTCGTAATTATCAAAGTAATAACAGTTCCGTTAATTGAAGCAATTGAAGCTTCATTCATTAAGTAAAAATTATGAAAAAATTGCGAAACATATGTTAACATACTAAATTTTCGCATAATTCAATTAGAATCTAAAATTGATGATTGAAAGGTGTCAATAATGTTGGATCGTCATATGATGGAAGATTACTGCTAGTCCTTAAAAAAAAGATTGGAAAAAATTAAAGAAAAGAAGAAAAAATGAAAGAAAGAAAAGAAAAAATGAGAAAATTATAAAAGTAAAAGCTCATAAAAGGCTCTTAAAGCAATTTGATTAATATAAAATATATATAAAAATTAATATAAAACTGTCATTACAAAGATTTTTGTTATTTTGTTTCATTGTTTTTGTTTATTTTGTTTCATGTTTTTTTTTTAGTAAAATGAAAACAACGTTTTAAAAATTAATCTGCAAAGCCATTAATAGCTTCATGCACTGGGGCACAAATAACTATGTTCAAAATCGATCTTATATCTAGGGCAATAGAACCACTGTAGACCAGTGTTATTTAAAAGCGCAACTCTTTGCAATAAATAAACCATATTAAACTTAGATGATGAAGAAATTAATCATTTTACTTTTATATAAAAGACGACACCAAAGCAAATTATTAAAAATTATTTTAAAAAATACAAATTCGCACAGTGTATTTTTATTATCTGCTCAATTACGCTTAGAAACCTGTTATAATTCCAAGTAAATAAAATCCTTAGTTCGCGTGCTGTGCATCTTTCATTTACATTTTTATTTGCTTGTTATCGGTTAAACTTAAGATACGCACATAAGTGTAAATACCACTTGTTATTAGGGCTGAAAGTTCCTTGCTTAAGTCTTTAGTCGATTTACTGCTTGTAATATCTACCAAAGAACAAGACGTGACATGTAAATACTGATTTGTATTTTGTTTTTATTCTTCTTCCAACATAATTGCATACCTTTCAAGTGGTATTTGCTTTTGTGCACCTTTGGCTTGCAGCCAAACTAGTTTTTGTTTACGTTCTCATTTTGCTAAAAACACGTATCACTTTTCCGAACTCTTTTCACAGTGCATTCACTTTTAGCTTGTTATTGCAGCGGTCAAAGTCAATGTCAAACTACATTTACGGCATTGACCTAGGCACCAAATAAATGCAATGTTGCTGCTTGGTGCTGCACTACAAATAAAATAACAATAGCATTTTACCATATACCTAAAGTGACTTGCATTTTATCATTATTTATATTTACTTATTCTTCTACTCGCCGCAATAGGAGCGAGTCATGCTGTGAGCACAACAGTTTTGTGAACGTGTTAAATGAAATGTCATATTTTCTTTCGTTTTATTTTTTTCCCTATTTCTTATTAATTCAATGCACGTTTGGCTCGCATGTAACTGCCAGCAATAAATGGTTGTAAATGTGTGCTTTTTTGTGAGGATAGAAAATGTGCGCGGTTTGCCGATTAATTTAATAGTTGCAGATTAATGGATATTATAATTGTTGACAGACGCCAACGGCAGTATTCATAAAAAACAAATATTGTTTAAAATGATTTATAAGTATAAACATAGTATCTGTTAGCGTGTTAAGTGTGTTATAATTATGCACAATTTTATAAATAATATTGAGTTTGAATTATTTGTTGCATTTTTTTAGTATAACTCTGCATGTATACGTAAGTATGCACATATGTATGCAGGTGTTAAACTTATAGAAAATATAATCAGAATCGTGCTGAGAAATCATTAATGCAAAACATTTGTTATAAATATGAATTTTTGTGAATTTTACATTACAACTTCGATAGTTATAATCAGAAAACAACTCTAGATTTATGATTTTTTAATTCGAGAATGATTACTATACGAAAAATCAATAAAACAAGGAAAAATATTAACTTCAGCTGTGCTGATAATGTTTACAGCTTTACATTTTTTTACATTACTACTTATAGAAAAAAAAAATATATTATTCTAAGATCTTTATCTGGATTTTATCACAGGTCAGTTTGGGTGGCAGCTATACATATGCTATAGTGGTCCGATCTGCAAAAATTTTCAGAGATATTAAATTTTAGTAAGCATATTTAACTTTGTTCGATTTCTACGATTAATATTCGAAAATAGTGTGTTATTTTAATATAAAAATATATTTACAAAAAAATATACATATGTATTATACATATAAGAATTTGAAAGTAGGTGGTATAACATCTTGAGAAATGTTCTAAATGTCTTAGCAAAATCTGCGCAGTTTCACAGAACGGTGAAAAAGTAACTTCTTATGATTATTGAAATTTAAAAGATTGTCAGACCACTCGGGCCATTTGAACCGCTGATGCTCTAACTTTTTTAAAGCATCTGAAGTAATACTTTCTGGAGGTCTGCACTGTAAAGAAATGGTAGCAGATACTTTGAAAAATTTTTCCTTGGCGACAGCGGCGTTAGTCGGCGGCTTATTATGACGGAAGAGCACAATTTGCTTTCCCAAATACGGTAATTTTCTGTAATTTGTCGTCGAGTATAATAATCAGGTATTGTAAGGCTCTGTGATCCTTGCGCCCTACTGCAGGTAGTCAATATGGATAATTTTAGAGAGCGATGACCATTGAATTTCTTTCAATGGGACATTCTTCGTCTTCTTCGGAACACGTTCGCCCAGTAAAATTCTCTGTTTCAACGATTTCTGTTTCTTCAGAAAATATTTTTTTTACCTTTATACTAATGACAGTTTTGCACGTTTGACTCAACCTCATTTATAATCAGAGACCTATAATAATAAGAAAGTGTTATAGCTAACAAATTTACATGCTATCTCCTTCTTTTTTATCGACACGCTCTCACCAACACAGAGAGAAATTATTATAGCGCCATCACTGGCTTGAGTGTAGTTGCTGAGTTCTACCAGCAGGTGGCGAACGATCGCTAGAATTCAAATGTACAGCGTTTGTTTTTAATGGAAGCATACTTTTGGGAAATCTACAATAATTTCATGCTGAGAACATACAAATCTTTTATTTTCTCTGGTTTAGCGCTGAATTAAATGGAATAGGTCTATACCTTGTTCTAAACCTTCTATCCCTAATACAATAATACATAAGTATGTAGTTTCGGTCCTTTGATTGATGTTTTCCACATATCCCATAACGGATGAATTCTTAATTGGGGATGATTCATCTAGTTTTTCGAGGCCCGAGACACGTTGGAATATAGCATTCCTCGAATAATATTTTATTGTCGTCGCAAAGAAATTTACATAATATTCGTTTTTTTTGCACGAGTTAACCTTCTCCGTCTTTATGAATTGGTTTTGTTGTTGTAGCGGTAGTTTTTTTGCTTATGAACACAAATCAAATCATTATATTTATTGTAATGTTATATATGATTGTTGATATTCACTGCTTATAAAAAATATTCGTATTGAAGTAAAAATTATATTTATTTATTGGTTTAATTGGGAAATTTTTGGGCATACACTTTCTAAAATGAAACTTTTTGGCATAAAAACTTTGGCTGCTGGGCCAATAAATGATTGACACGTACATAAGTATTTACTTTATAGACTGTTAAATATTCGAAATAAAAAGTACTAGTTGAAACATTAGACACATAAAATTTTCATGCATGAAAATACATGAGTTTCTAAACTACTAAATTAATTCAACAACAAATCTATTAATGAACAACTTATTGGTATGTTTATGTTTGTTAACAACATGTTAAGTGAACCGGTTTTCAATCACAAACAAGCACTCAACATAACAGCTATTAACCCGTTCGAAAACCGCTAAGACGCACTTGTTGTTTCATACGAAGAAATTATATATTCATATTTCATAAGTTTTTAGTGTTTGCATGTTTTACGGCGTATATTTGCACAGTGAATGACAATTTTGTGCTAAACACGTTCACTATTTCGTTTTGAAGATGCATATTAATTAATAGCGAGTATATGGTGCACATAATTAATATTAATATTCGAGTTAGTTAACGGCTATGAGTATAAATGGAATATATAGGTTGAAACTACAACTATGTATAAGGAGCATATAGGTTTTTTGCGTTTGTTCTTAATTTTACAACTAGTAAGGCACATTTAAAGGATATGTATGCACACTGGTGCATACACATATACATAATTCTATACATATACACTCCGTATATAGCAATGGCAATTTAAGCGGCAGTAATAATAATAAAAACTTAATTGTTTAAAGTAATGCTGTTAGCATATGATCGTACTCAAAACTCTTCATGAGTTTTGGAAAAATGCAAATCTTGATTGAAAGTGCCACCCTCGCTATCTTTCACCAAATCTACATATATTTCATCTTCTGCTTGCTTTGAGGGTGCATCCTGCTCAGGTTGTATATAAGGGAATTCCAATTCTCGATCGCTCTTCAAATGCACATTAACATCACTGTTCACCGTTGAGGTCAGCTCCGAGTCTTCGGTGTCTGAAATGTAACCTGATTCACCGGTATAATGTGTGGGGAAGAGTATTAAAGGCGCCGCGCTGAAGGCTAACAAATCACGTTGCGGGAAGTGAGAGCTCCAAGTTTTATTCGGATGACGATTAAACATTAACGGTAGAAATTCATCGACTGGCAACAGTTTCTCTAACGGTTTTGCGGCGAGTAGTTTGCGTGCGCCTTGTAGTGATATAACATAGCCCAATGTCCAATAGGAGTAACCAGCATGTACAAGATTTTCTGCATTCTGTACCCAAGGTTCTTTCTCTTCCTTCAAACGTTTGCGGCCAAAGTAACTGTGGGTTAATAGATATTTTAAGTATTCTTATTTAATATGACTATATTTAAAAACACTACACTAAATCATATTCAACAACGCTGCGTATTTGCGAGAGCACGCGTATGGCGCTATCTTTGAAGTATGGCTGGAAGCGTACATCATCCTCAAGTATAAGCACTTCATTTTGTTCGCGCTCAACAATCTTTTCCCAAATGCGATAGTGACTTAAAAAGCAACCGATTTCACCCATTGTCATTTGACGGTGAGAGTAAGGATCTTCATAGCCAGGCAGAAATTTGATACCCATATCTTCTAGTAACTCAGTGGTTAGATTTCTGAAAGAATTTTCAATATAATAATGTACAGCAAGTAAATATAATATTTCTGCTGATATTTAACGTACTTTCCGTCCACGGCGGGAAAATATTCAACGTCTAGACCTAACTCAAGGAAGAGTTTCTCCATTTTGGCACGTCGCTCTGGACGTCTTTCAAGATTGATCATGTAAATATGGTCCAATGTGAGTTTGGTTCTGCAAAATTTAAATTTGTAAAAATATTATTTTTCGAATATCGAAATTCGAACTCACTTATTCGGATAAGTAATGTATTTCTCGAAATAAGCATTCACAGGCGCCACCTCATCCTGATCATGTACGATATTTGCGCGTATATTTATCAGCTGTTGCACGTCTTGTTCCAAACCATCGTTAACCTCAAGTGGCTGCATTAAATATCCAAATGGTAACTTATTACTGATGAACATTGCTATGCGTGAACAATTTGCCGATGTAGCGAAAACAATAATATCATCGACGGGGCCATCGTACGGGCGACACGGTGTGAATCCTTCATGTTCTGCCCATTCGACCTCATTTTGTTGCTGCTCAAGAAGCCGTTCACGATTGAATGTTAGATAACGCATGCCCTGATAGTTCACTCTTATCAGCACAGCACTATGTACCATTGGTACAGGGAAAACACCTTCCTTATTAACATTGTAGATTTCCCTGTATTCGTCGGTGCGTTGATAGTAATAATCGGGTGTCATGCCACACCAAAAATTTGAGTACAAACCTTCGGACAGTAGCATAGGTGCAACGATGGGTAATCGTAGACTAGTCAAATGAGTTAGGGTGTCGGCGTGTGTTAACAGCACATCAGCATCAAGGAACTGTATTAAAGCACAATCAACATAAAACATAATTAGTTGGTATGTATTGAAAGAATGGTGTATGTATTTATAATTACAAATATGTAATCGGCCCAAATCTTCTTAGCATAAATCAATGCTGTTTCTTTCAAGTTTATGAGATAATGAAAACGTGCAGCAGGCCAATCGTTCGGTGTACTTTCATTTTGATGACGTTGCACGCTGTCGTCATGCTCGAAATCGACACTGTGATATAAGTTTGCGGTGTTATTAAGCCACAGCTGCAGCAGTTCAGTGCTCGCGTCGTTATTGTGATCTGAACGTATCCTACAATTGGAAGATAAATGTTATCATGCATGATTATCACATCAGAATGTGTGTGGAAACTTATAATTTATATGTTCTACTTACCACAATGCAATTTGCTCTTTTGGATAGTTCAGGCGCTCGAAGTAGGTTAGGAACAGCGGTAGGATATGTGCCTTGTTGCGTACCAAAAGCGCTACCACTACAGTGGGTGGCTCATCGCCTAAATCCGACGGCAACAATTCATACAACTCATCGATACTTGGCACAGCTTGCGTCGGTGGCTTGGCGGTTTCCGGTGTCGCAACTGCGCTGCAATAATAGGAGCTCAGAGCGAATAGCAGCGTATAAACGGCGAATTTGCACATCTTCAAGCTAATCGCAACGATGCTTTACAATGATTTTCGGTTTGAAGTTTAAAAATTGACAGCACTTTATTCCATACGTTTGTTCACCACTACAGCGCAGAACGTTCTGAGACGATATATGCGAGTTGGCTGTTAAAAATCTATTTTAATATGCGAGTTTTAATTACTTGACTGCTGCGGCATCACTTTACTTTGTAGAGACGCTAACAATCAGAAACCACATACCCGCATACAGACACAAACAGAAAATATGACGTTTCTTATCATAAACAAATCGTAGCAGTGCTTTTGTTGTTGGACAGCGGTTTACGGAAGACAATGGGATATGCTAATGGAAACATGTGTTGTTTTTCTGCTACAGTGGCTTGTAAAATGTAACTAATGTAGGGTTGCTGTTCGTATTATTTCAAACCTTTTTTTTTATTTTTTTTAATTTTGCATTAATTTAAATTTTTTATTTACAACAGTGCTAAGTGGCGGCAGTCAATAAAAAGTATTATTAGACGTTCATGCTTAATATGCTAAAACAATAGTACAAATATGCATTACGCTACATGGGGACGAACATAGCTAGGCATTTGCAATTTCAAGCCTTCTTTTGATTCAAAGAAAGTATATGATAATGTTATCGTATCAACATTTTCCAGTTTCGGATCTTTCGTAAATTCCGGATCGATATAGAAGAATACAGGCATATCCACCTACAAGATACAACAAAATTTCATATTTAAGCTTGTAAATTAAAACAACAGCAATAACATACCTCCTCATGTGGATTTAATTGCTGTTCTTCAAAACAAAAACACTGTATTTTGTTGAAGTATGCACCAGCTTCGAATGGCAGCACATTATAGGTGCTAATGCCAATAACTGGGTGATCTGTGGGATTACGCGCTGTGTAGAACGCCAACGCCGTTTCTCCAGGCACAACTTTGATCTCATATTGTTGCGGTTTAAAGTTCCAACGCATAGACGCAGCAATATCAGCATTAAAACGTATTTTTAGTATACGGTCTTCGATTTTCTGCATCGTTTCTACTTTATCGGCATCGTGCCCCTGCGACGTTGTGCCACCGTAGCTGTATGCCTGCGGTAGCGAAGTTATTTACACACATTATGTTTAATCGCAGAATTGCTCACCTGGCAGAACATGCGATATAGTGGCACTGCGGCATAGCTGGCACCAGCTACGAAAATGCCTCCAGCAGTTAAATAATATAGAGTTGACTTTTGCCGTTTTCGCGCTGCTTCACCGGCGTCTGTACCATTTTTACCGTTTGTGGATTGAAAGCGTAGCCGGCACGCGCGTTTGCAATGTGTTCTTAATATGTGTAAGGTTCTTAACATTTTTTATAACACTTAATATATAAGGTAAATATTAATTAATTTTTTATGTTGCCTTAGGAGCAAACTCGTAATATTTACAAATTATTTTTGTAGGTTAAACAGCTGTTTATTGCATTTGCCGAGCCACTGTATGTACATTTTTGCGCTGAGTGTGTTCAATTGAATAGAATTTACGGTAGCTTTCAAACGTTGCTAGGAAACGGTTATTTTAACGTTGGACAAACATATTTCATGATTTTAATAATTTCGGCTGCTGTTCGAGTTTGGTGAAGTTTTTTGTAAAATTTATTTACAAAGTTGTTTTAGTAATTTTCAAAATGCAGAACATATTAAAAGAACGGTAACGCACATTTTAACCGTTTGGTAAGTTATCAGCGCAGTTTCATTCGCTTTTACTTAGAGATGAGCGGATTTGCCAGCTAGTGCTGCCATCTTTAACTTTGTAAATATATCAGCACTTCCGCACAGTTAAATAAATTTTCTAAAGTAAATTTGTTTTTAAAAAATATTTTTATTATAATTATAATATTTGTAATCGACTTACTAATGACCGCTTTTGAAAGATATGAATTTCAGCGACGATCCCCTGGCTGATTTGCTGAGCGACAACAGTTTGGATAATGACAGCTTTTTCGACAATCCGACAGGCGTACGGCCCACAACTCGTATGAACAAAAGTAAAAGTAAATTAGATGATTTGTTTGGAATTAAAGAAGAAAGTGAACCGAGAGCTTTACCAGTGCCTAAAGCACGCCAACCTGTGCCAACAACAACTGTAACTGCAAGTACACCCCGCACAACCAATCAGCAACAAAAATATTCCAAAGATATGCTAGAAGATGACGACGATGATGATCTGGGTTTCGATCCACAAAAACCAAAAGCCGGCAGTAAGTTGAATTTGTTGGATGATTTATTTGCTAACACAAGCATTAAAGAGTCTAAAAGGCCCGCCACTGCGCAACCCTCGACTGTGCGTCGTGAAACAGAGAAGCCAACTATATCGCGACAATCAACAGACACCACCACCGACACTTCAAATGTGCTGTTAACACAACCACGTCCAAAAACATCGGCGGGAAGACGTAGTTCCAGTGCGTCGAATGTAATGTCGACCGATCCGTTAGGACTTTTTGCTGGTTCCACCAAAGAACGGGAAAAAGAACCTTCTACCTCGGGTATGTCTACGCCTAAAGCTAAAAAGCGTGGCACTACAGCAGACTGGCTTGGCTTGACCACGGACTCGGAAGCTGCTGGTAAGGCTGATGTAACAGAGTCACCAATGCGCACTTCGAAACCGCCAACAACTACTTCGCTTACCACCACTGCTAGTACCGCAAGAGAAACTATAGACATTTTGAAGTTGCCAGATAATCTGATGCAGGCGCCCACAGAGCAACAAGTTGACTTACATGAAGACGTGCTTTTGATGCCACAAGTTGTGACTTCTGCCCCAACAGACGATAATACGGCGCAAAATATACTCTTGCTAAATACCCACAATTTGGAAATGAAGAACGCTTACACGGCTCTGCAGCAGCAGGAGTCTCAACTGGCATTGGCTACGCAGTTGAAAAACCAAGAACGCGCTTTACTGGAAATGCAGCGTAAGCAAGAAATACTACTACAACAACAAGAGCGACAGTTCCAGGCACTAGTTCAACGACAACTACAGCGTCAGCAGCAAATGGAGGATCATATTAAGATGCAACAGCAACGAATCAACACACACATACAGCTTTTGATGACACAGCCTGCCATGCTGCCGACTTCTATGCCATTACCGCCAATTAAACTAGCGCCAGAGACTGACAACTTGGGCGAGCGCATTGGATCACCAGATGGCACACCGGAAAAATCTGACGACGCCGGCGGTACTTTGGATGAACGGCAAGGCCGCAATCGTAATAACAGCGGCAGTCGTAGTCGGAGTCATAGCCGCAGTAGACCGGCCTCGCCGCCGGACGTTATGCTGGAAACACTACAACATGAAGCTGATATCAAGCGTTTGGAATTGGAAAAGCTACGTCTGGAAGAGCTGGTGACAAGTCAAAAGGCCAACTATGAGCGTGAAATTGAATTGATAGAACGTTCCTATAAGAAACAACTGGAAGTAGTCGAAAACCACACAAATTCAATCGAAATGCGGTTAAGAGCTGAAGTGGAAGAACTTTCGAAGTACTACATACAAAAAGTAAGTACATTGGAAAGCGAAAAACAAAAATTGAAATCAGAATACGAAACCGACTACGGCAACTTCAAGCAGGATCAGGAAGATGAGTTGCGTAAGCTAAAAAAATCGCATGAGGACGACATAGAAATGTTAAGAGAAGAACATCGACGAATGCTAGAAAATGTGCGACAGGCTAAAATGCTTGAGTTTGCCGCTGTACAAGAGAATGGCTCATATATGGAGATGTTGAAGGCTGCCTCAAGCAACTTGGAAAATCTAAGTGGCGGCTTGCAGGGCTTGCGCGATGACGTGCAATCAAGACTGGAGCTGCTGCACAAAGAAAAGGAAAAGAAATTAGAGGCACGTGAACGACGACTTGAAGATGCTGAACGCCGTTTGAAGATGAACGAAGAATCCGCGGATGAAGAAAAAAAACGTCTCATGACGCTGGTTAGCAGTTTGGAGCAGCAACTAAAAAAATTGTCTAAAGAATCGGCAGACGAGAATTGGATGCTGCGCCAGCAGATGGCCACTCTTGAGGCCGAGAAGGCAGCATTTGAAAAAGAGAAAGAATTTGCACGCGAACAAATAGCCCGTGATGAGAAACGTCTGGAGGAACTCAAAGAGCGGCAATTAAGTGAAACGCAACGTGCTTTAACGGATTTGCAAGAGGAACGAGCACGTCTCTATTTGGAGCGTACCAAGATCGAGACAGAGCAGAAGCTACATTCCGGCCATGATATGGAGAAGCAACGATTAGAAATGGACGCAGTCATGAAAGTGGCGCAAGATGCTGCCCGTCAAGCGGATGTTGAGCGCGAACGGTATCACAAGTCGTTGCGCCAATTGGAGCAATTTAAACGTGAACTTATCGATAAAGAGAATACACTTCGAGCCAAGGAAGATGAACTACAGCAGGAAACACTTTCGTTTCGTATGGCTGAACATAAATCCCAAGAAGCGATACAAAAAGCGCGCACTGCCGAGCAAAATTTCCAGATAAAGCTACAACTATTACAGAAACGAATGCGGGAAACGGACGAGATGGAGGTGAATCTCTCACAAGAACGTATGCTTCTTACACAGGAACGCATCAAATTGCAACAATTTAAGGCGGGTCTCTTGGAAAAGCGTTGTGAGCTATGCAAAATGAGCGATCAGCGTGAGAAATTGGCGCAATATTTAAATAGCAACAATGACGAAGAAGTTGCCAATGATGATGGTGCAGCGGGCGATTCGATGGCACAGCAACGCAATTACATGCGTACGGAGGAATTAAAAATGCGGCAAATGCTGCAACAGGGAAGCATTGTGGATCGTATGCTTGATGAGAATATAGCCGAGTCTCTGCGCAAAATGAGAGCTTCAACAAACATGGAATACTGGCCGGAGACGGTGCTGGACGATGATGCCAAAGAGAAAGCGCTACATAATCTGGATAGCGGCTTGCTACGTGGCAGCGTAGAGAACTTATTTAATCGGACCTCACAAACAAAATATTAACGTTAGTAAATTTTATACGTACATTATATGTGTAAAAAAAAAAATAAAAAAAAAAAATAAAACGACATTGTGTTAAAAACAAATTATTGTAACCGGATGAAAAAAATTTCCGCGGGCTCAAGAACGGTAGTTAATTGGACAAACGTGATTTCA